TGGCATTCAACCACATTTTCTTCCTGAGCGCTTCTTCAATACCCACTAGTTCAGAATCTACTAGCATGGCACACTGAACGATTTCTCCTTCAGAATCTACTTTAGTATCATGTAACATGCTAAAATCTGCAAACTTACTTGGTATTCGTCTGATTCTCTATGGCCTCTGATCTTGTTCCGAAGCTTCTCCAAAATTCGGAACAATACTAGCTTCTGAACCTTGTCCAGAACTACTTCCTTCAGAATTACCACCTTCAGAGTTACTTCTGGAAACTTGTTCTCCAGACCCCATGTCTTCAGATTTTTCTCTTCCAGAAATATAATCACCACCAGAATCTGGATCATCAGAATCTGGATTAGAATCAGATCCACTATCAGAATCTCCCTGAGATTCTGACTCATCTTCAGAGTCTTCTTCTTCTAACTCTGACTCGTCTTCAGAAACTAACCCTGGTGTTGGTACTACACCAGAATCTGATTGAAGCTTATTCCAATCCCATGTTTCTGACTCTTTCACAATGACGTCTCTGCTGATCTCAACTTTGTTGGTTTCTGGACAATAAAGCTTGTAGGCACCTGTACTGTGGTACCCCACCAGTAACATTGTTTTGCTTCTATCATCCAGTTTTCGTCTTCTAGCCTCTGGAACGTGTTTGTAGCATACAGAACCAAACACCTTTAGATGGCTAACACTTTGCTTGTCTCCAGTCCATTTTTCTAAAGGAACAGTTTCCTTCAGCTTCTTTGTTGGACACATATTCAGAACATATGGTGATGTGGCAACAGCTTCTCCCCATAACATATGAGGTAACTTTTTTTCTTTCAGCATACTTCTGGTCATATCAAGCAAAGTTTTGTTTCTTCTTTCAGCGAGACTGTTGTGCTGAGGAGTATATGGAGAAGTGACCTCATGTTCTATTCCATTCTCCTCATAGAACTTCTGGAACTCTGTAGAGTTATACTCACCTCCACCATTTGTTCTCAGAATTTTCAGCTTCTGACCACTCTGCTTCTCAGCCTTCACCTTGAACTTCTGGAACTCTGTAAACACTTCATGCTTGAACTTGATGAGTGTTACCCAAGTCATTCTTGTGAACTTATCCACAAAAGACACGAAATATTTGTTTCCTCCAAGTGAGAGTACTGGAAATGGTCCACACACATCAGAATGTACTACACCCAGAGCATGCTTTGCTCTGGGGGCTACTTCTGATGCAAATGACAATCTGGGTTGCTTGCCTTTCATGCATATCTCACATGACTTCTGAGGCTTCACAATCTTCGAAATGCCATGTACGAGCTTCTTGGAACTTAGATGCCCTAAGCTTCTATAGTTCAAGTGCCCCAACCTCTTGTGCCACAGCTTGTTGTCTGCTTCAGCGCCTTCTGCACTGAGACACTCCGCTTCAAAAGTTTCTACATTCACTTTGAATGTTCTGTTGCTTTCCTGCTCAGACTTCATAATCAACTTCTGATTAGAATCATACAACGTCAAGAGGTTGTCCTTCATAACCACTGAAAAACCTTTCTCAATAAGCTGACCCACACTCATCAGATTGCTTTTAATTCCAGGAACGTACCAGACATCTTTGATCAGAATGTTTCTTCCATTCTTCACTCTGACTCTGACATTTCCCATACCTTCTGCATTAAGGTACTTATCATCAACACATCTGATCTTTGTTCTCCTTCTAGAGTCAAAGTCTATCAGCCATTGTTTGTTCCCAGTCAAGTGGTTTGAACAGCCAGTGTCCATATACCACCAATCTCCTGAACAGTTTCCATCAGAATCAGAAGCCATCAATAACACAGGTTCATCATCAGAATCTTCTCTGGCTATATTTGCTTCTTCTGATTTCCTTCCTCTGTTTCTACAGTCTCTGGCAAAATGGCCAAACTGTTTACAGCAGTAACATTGAACCTTCTTCTTGTCATATCTTTCCTTTCCCTTCTGATATTTCTTTTCATCAGAAGTTGAGGTTTCTGACTTCTGGAATTTATCACCATGTCTATTCTGCTTCTGGTCCTTCTTGACAAAAGAAGCTTTCAGAGCTTGCTCCACTTCCCTCTCAGAAGTTCTTTCAGTCAGACGCAACTCTTGTGCTTCTAGACTGCTTTGCAACTCTTCTATTCTCATGGTTTCCAGATTTTTAGAATGTTCAATAGAAACAACAATGTAGTCAAACTGAGGCGTAAGTGACCTCAAAATCTTTTCTATGATTACCTGTTCAGAAAGTGTTTCTCCACAAGCCTTCATTTCATTAGTGATCAGAATCATTCTGGAGATGTATTCAGAAACTTTCTCACTGTTCTTCATGCTGAGATTTTCATATTGTTTTCGCAAGGACTGAAGCTTTACCTTCTTTACTGATACGTCGCCACCATAACATCTGGTCAGTATATCCCATGCCCCTTTCGACGTCGTCGAATCAACAATCTTCTCAAACACATTTTCATCCACACACTGATGGATGAAAAACAGTGCTTTCTGATCCCTCTTTCTTGTAGCTTTTTCTTCTGATTTCTGTTCTACAGTAGCATCTGCTGCAGCTGGAACATAACCTTCAGAGACAAGGTCCAGAACATCCTGAGCACCAAACAGCACACGCATTTGTATCTTCCATCTGTTCCAGTTTTTGCCATCAAAAACTGGAAGTTTAGTGTTCAAACTACTGCCTCCATTCATCTTAAACCTTTGCACAAAAAAACTCAGATCTCAGATTTCTCACTCAGTGTTTCCCAAACCCACAGAATCAGTGTGATTCTGTTTCAGATTTTTGTTCAAGATTCAAAAAATCAAACACACAGCTCACTATCACTCGTGTTTCCCAGAATTTCAGAACAAATCAAGAGCTCTAGATACCAATTTGTTAGTGCAAGGTGATGAATTTGAGGAAGAAGAAGGAAGGAATAAATGTGTAAAAGCTGACAGCAAATGATTGAAGGAATTGATTGATTTAAATGTAAACCTAGTACAACTATTTATACACAAATAAGAATGCCACATAGGCCCTAATCAAAACTTATCTACAAATAACAAAATACTAAATTACCCTCTAATAACTGTGAATTCACCCACACTAAGATATGGAGGATAACAAAGTATTTCTAAAAGTAGTATTATTGATAGTGCATAATTATTTCTGTGAAAATTGTGTAAGTTATGATTTTTAATGTTGTGTATGTGTTGTGAAGCTCAATTTCAATCTCTATTTTTATGATAGTCGGTACTCCTGGCAAGATTCTTCAACATATTGAGTAGAGAAATACGGTATACAGTAACACCCAATACTTGACCCAATACTTGATGAGTGCCCTTAAATTGACAATTTTGAATATATGATTATAAGTTGTAAGATGCACTTAGTGAGAGTAGATTTTTTTCTGCGGATATAAGGCGAAGGTACACAAAATGTTTGATCGGGGCTTTGGTCCTAATATTCACAAGTTCCTAACCCCACTATAACAATGTTTGAAATGACATTCAAACAGGTTATTACTTGCAATTTCTCTATTTTGATTTTTTAAATCTAATTTGAAATATGTTAATGTTAGAGCATAGCAGAACTATGTCATATAAATGGTGATATTGTTTTGGCAACTATACTAGTATTTCTACACTTGGCTTTATTTATGGCTGATTTATTATCATTTATATGCAGACGTGAAGGAAACCAAATAAATAGAGATTGAGCAATGTTACTTAGGTGTAGTTGGAGAATTTTGTGTTTGTATGATGATGATCTTTGGGGGCTGAAGTCTTATTGAGTTTAGTGACACTAAAGGGTTGGCTATTTTAAAACTAATGGTTTGCATATTCGTTGTCAGAGTAACTTTTGTAGAAGTTCTTTAATGATGTTTTTTTCAACCTTTACTTGTTCTTTAATGATGTTTTTTTCAACCTTTACTTGTGGTTGGGGTGTTGGTTTTTGTGTCACATTGTTTCCTTTGAACGATTTGTGTTTGACATATAGTAAATTGTGTTTGATATGTAGTAAATTAAGAATTTTAACTGATACTTTTAATCCCTTAGCATGTCTTGTGTTTGGGTGAGCTTTTTTTTAGTATATATTATTTTTATTTTCTTTTTATAAATTGAATGATACATGACGGACTTTCGTTATTATTATTTTTGTGAAAAAATTTGAAAATTGTGGCGGTTTTAAACGCCATAAAATCGAAGGTTAGGGCGGTTTAAACAAACGTTTACTAATTAAACAAAAGTTTACTAATTAAACAAAAGCCGCCGTTTTTATATTAGGGATATCACGACGGTTTGTGTGGCGGTTAATACAAAACCGCCATTGTTTATCCGCGGCAGTCAAATTTACGACGATATTTGAAAATGCCATTTTCTTTAATTACGGCGGTTGAAAGCGACGTAAGAGTACTTTTTAAACCGCCACTATTTCCTTGTTTTTTTTTTTGTAGTTCACAACTATCTTTATCCATAGTTTTTTTAATAATATAAACTACTCTTTCAACAGCCTATAATAATCTCAACAATTCATAATTATTTCAACAATATAAATTATATTCTTAACAATTTATAGTTGTCTCAATAATTTATAATTATCTCAACATATAAGTCGTATTCAACAAATTGTCTTCGTCCTATTGATGTTCCGTATGTATGGTATTTTCTCTACCTAATTAATTTTCTTTTGTACTTTATTTGAATTTTTTTTTTGGAAATACCTTAGTATCTTTGGGAATACTATTTTATATGAAGGTTTGTTATCGTTTATATTCTATTGGACTATTAACAAAAACCACAATCATTACCAACACAATCTTAAAATCATAAACTATTTATTTCTAAATTTAGATCACATATAACAAGATTCAATCTTGTTATTTGCATTGATACTACATATAACATGTTCATAACTTGGCCATACACGCGGTACACATTATACAAACACAAAGCATTGGTAACAAGGACATCTTATTTAGTAGATATTGATATGCATCTGTGCATTCATGCTTTAGAAATGGAGTTAATCTTCCGCGGGTGGGTGATGATTACCATAAGGTGGACCACGACCATAAAACGGCGAACACGGGCGAGTAGGGTCGGTTGTGCAAGAAGTTGATGTTTTCTCGTCAATTGGTTTCTTGTTGGATGGAGGAAGCTTGTAACCATCAGTGAAACCTTGAGGAGCAAGCATAAGAGCAGCAAGGAAGAACACTAATAAGGAAAAGAAAAAGGAATTAGCCATTTTAAATGCTGGTTTAAGTATTGGTTCATACCACCTAGGGAATATTGAGGTTTTATAGTAGTATTATGCTCAATGAGAGTGTAAAGTATCAAAGAAAGTCCTTTACTAAATGTTAAATTTTGGTGTTAAATATTCCACGAAGTTTCTATCTTAGGTCCCATGTATTTGGAAAATTAGATCAGTACCATTCTTTTAATTTTAAACAGAAGACCTGTAGTACTAGCCACTAGTATCATTGTATCTTAATGCATTTAGTTTGTTCCTTATCTTATCCTATCTTAATTTGTGCTTTAATTACAACCATTCATCTTATACTCTCAATTTTCCAATAATAAATTAACTTTGAAATTTACTTTAAAGTTTTGGAAAATGCTTATTATTAAAAAAAAAAGTGAAAAAAAAATTAAAAATAAATCTCAACAATTCCTTATCACAACCACTCCATGATTCCTATTAAACAGAAAAATTAATTTATAATAAATAAAAAATTATTTACTAAATTAATGACACATGCACATTCTTGTGTTTTTTGTTCAAATTACTTCGTATTAAATATCATTACTTTTAATTTTTTATCCTCGTGCTTGAACAATATATTTACATCCGAGTTTTATCAAATGAGATATAAATTTATTTGATTTAAATGTATATATGTAAATATTTACACCCGTTTCCTTATAAAAAAGATGTAAAATACCATCTATTTACACCCAATATTTATCAAATGAGGTGTAAATTCATTTGATTTAAATGTATATATGTAATAATTTACGTCTGTTTTCTCGTAAAAAAGATGTAAAATACCATCTTTTACGCCCATTATTAAATGGGTGTAAATTCGTCAGACATTTCACACTTGTATCTTTAGCCCCTCAGTTGACCAAATGACATGGAATTTTTATTTGTGATGGCGTGTCATGTCCACCTAACTTTTATTTTAATTTTAATTGATTTATAAAATTCTCGTGGAATATTTATTTATTTTTAAAATTTTAAAATTATTTTATATTTTTTTTATATTAATCCAGCTTATGATGTTCATAAAATTTGAATCACTTATAAATTCTTACATTTTTCAAATCACTTATTATAATTTTCATATGTATATATGGTTAGGAGTGGCAAAACGAGTTGGGTCCGTCGGGTTGGTCCGTTTGATTCACTATTTTTGCCGGGCTAGGTTGAGATTTTCGACTCGGTACCTTAAATTGGCCCGCCCCGTCTAACCTACTTAAAAAAGAGGGTCGAGGCGGGGCGGGACCAGTTTTTCCCGTGAGCTTTTTGTTAAAACTTTTACTCTTTTTATTAAGAATTAGAATAATTTTAATTATAAAAACAACACTTATCTCTTATGATTGTATTATATATTATTATACAGACAAATTGAAATATAATTGTAACGTTCTTTCTATAACTTTCTAATACATACGTTGATTGAAAATGATTGAAATTAAAGAACACATGTATGACATGCATAATTATTAAGTTTTCAATATATTAGCTCATATGTTTTCTTTAGAAATAAATGTTTATTTTATGAAAATGAATGATTTGATTAGTATATACGTGGGACAAATTTAGGATTTAACTATTAAAGAATCGGTCAATATAAGAGTCTATATAATGTAAATAGTGAGAAAATTCAGTGTTGATATTTTACGCATTACTATTATATGTATTGTGATGTTTCATGCAATGTTATTGTTATCATTATTTGTTTTGTGTAAATTTTAAATTGAATTCTTTTAGTAGTTAGTTTTTAAATAGGATTATGATGATATATATTGTTTATTTATTTTGATATTTTTTATTGTGTTTGAGTTTATTTTGTTTTATTGTTGTAATTGGTCTTTATTTATTAAATTTTTTGAATTGTTTGGACTTAAGACATCTTAAAATTCTATTATGCGTAGTTAAAAAAAATACTTTATCGACGACCTCTTTAGTAATAATTAAAAAATTTCTAAATTATATAATAAATCAAATTGTAAAATTAAAAAAATTAAAAATTGGCGGGCCGATCCACCAACCCGTCAACTCGTTAGTAAACTGGGCAGACTTGACTTTTGAGCTCGGACCTCTACGTCGGTCCGCCCCACCCCGCTCCACTTTTAAACGAGCCTAAATGGGACGAGCCTAAATGGAGTGGGCCGCCTGCTTTGCCACCCCCTATATATGGTGCATGTTGATCTTTGTAGATATATGTGACGAGCATTTCATATTTTTCTGCTCCATATGCTTGTCCACGTTGAGTGTCATCAAGTTCATATGCATATAGTTCAGAAGCTGAAATACCTTAATACCGGCTGAACTGATGACACGAGAAACCGAAACATGACCAATACTTGCAGGAACACGGGGAATGTCAGTTTTCCACAGAACTTATGGCTCTTAACGATGTCCTTGCACATATTCCTCCAAGACTGGAAAACAGAAGCACAGGTAAATTCATGATTTGCATAATAATATAGTAATTATGGGGTAAGCTCGCCCAACAACTATTTTGAGTTACAAGCGGTTGTTGTGATCAAGAAAATCATGTACAGAACCATGATATTTTCCTCTATGATGATGATCAGTAAGTTTGACATCAAAACTACGCCTAGGTAAGCTCCCAAAACTATCACGGACATCAAGAAGTATGATCCGCAATGACCTTCTACAGGAGGATCCCAAGAATAACTATATTATTATAGCTCTTCTGTGAGATTTCTCATGGACTATATACAACCAATTTGTTTGCATTCTTTGGTGAACTCGAGGCTTATAATCACAAGAGTGCTTGCTTTTTTTCTCAAACATCCTGCCATGGAAATTTCCCTGTCATGCAATGTTCTTTAGTGCTTATTTAATGGTTGTTTTTTTTTAGCAAGGCAACATAATTATAGGGCAGCAATGCTACCATTAATGCATAGAATATGGTGGTTATAATTTCGTACTATTGTTGAGGCATATAATATTGGGTTCTTTGGTTTGGACTAGTTGTGCCTTAGCTTTAGGTCTTTGGTCTATAACAGTTTTCCATAAGACTTGTCGAGAGAGGATTAGTTGGGAAAGTCTTAGAAGTCATGGTCGACCTCTAGAAATGATGTTCACTCTCGGTCAGAAGTGGAAACACCTTAAATAAGTTGTGAAAGTAGTGAGAGACAGACATATCAAATTCTTTCACATCAATGAAATACTCCACTACTCTTCCCTAATGTGTGGCTTGAGATGACAAATTTAGGGCAAGCACATTCCTATAGTGCATTTGAGTGCACTTAAATCTGTTTACACTTCCTAGAGAGAATCCAATCGTATACAAGGATTTTTTATTATTGAGGAAACTTTTTGCAATTTTTGAGAGTTAATTTGGCAATCTTTGTGGGATCTTATTTGGCCGAAATGACAAAAACATCAAGTCGGTTTATTATGAGGTAACATGTTCGATCCTCTTCAGTCTTAAAATTATATTTTTGTTACAATATAAATATGTATTTCTTCTAATTTTCTAAAAAATATATATATTTTGAAGAAAAAATCATAAAAAGTTCAAAGTAATTTAATTTATTTTCTTTTATTTTTTTATAAATACCATAATTTAAATGATTGTTAAAATAATAATAATTATAAATAATTAAATAAAAATACTAAAAGATAGCTTAGAAACGATTGTTGCAAATATGACAGTGACACATTATCATGTAGACTGTTTTGTGATTAAAATTTGACCTCAATTTATACACACTAGTAGATTGTTGCAATTATATATACTAGTGTGTATACCCGTGTGAGGCATCAGACAAAATTTCTTAAATTAAAAAAATATTTTATAATTATTTATCATTTATAAATGAAGTTATAGTAATATTAAAATTAGCTGAATGATTTAATATTTTTGTTAATTGAAAAAAATATTAAAAAATATTTGTATATTAACTTTTAATAAAAAAATTAAATAATAAAGGATTATTAATATACTAATAACATTTTATCTCATTTCAAATAATTTATAAGTAAAATGCACATAAATAATAAAAAATGAGTCCCGAACAAATTAAATAATATTTAAATATTGAGTACAAAACATTTCAAAAAAAATTATCAATAGGTATTCATCAATAGAAAAGAAAATACATATTTATAGTTGTTTTAATATAAAAAATCATAACCTTATCAGTAAACAAATTTTTTTAAATAAAAATAGTACATTTACATGAAATATAAAGGATAAGTGAATAATAATGTGGGTAATAAGTATGAAAATATAAAGCTATAAATTCAGCAAATCAAACATTCAAGATTATCTCAAATTTCCTCCAAATTGAATAAATCATCGTAACTCTTTTTTATGGATATTATCTTGATAATGACACTTAAATATATTTTTTGGTTTTTATTTTTATTTTATTCTGTTCCTATCTTAGAATAATACAAAACTTATTTTTCTACAATATTTTGCTTTTCAACTAAATTTTTCTACAATATTCTGTTCCTTCAAATATTTTTTAAAATATATTTTAACTAAAATTTTTAAAATTTTATTTAATAAAAACAATAAATAACCTAAAAATAATTTAACTTTTATTTTTTTTCCAAAATAATGAAAAACCAAGTTAACCAAAAACAAAGCAACAAAAGAAACTTCCATGGCGAAAAAGAATTATTATTTAATTAATTAATATTCATAACTATATAAAAATCAAATTAAAATTAAACAAAAAATAAAAATGTTAAAATTAAAATTAATATCCATTACTATTTTATGCAATGTGATGTTTTATGCAATGTTATTGTTATCATTATTTGTTTTGTGTAAATTCTAAATTGAGTTCTTTTAGTAGTTAGTTTTTAAATAGGATTATGATGATATATATTGTTTATTTATTTTGATATTTTTTATTTTGTATGTTTTTATTTTATTTTTTTGTTGTAATTGGTCTTTATTTATTAAATTTTTTGAATTGTTTGGACTTAAGATATCTTGAAGTTCTATTATGCGTTGTTAAAAAAATTTCTTT